CTCCAAACACCTGACATACAGACAAGTCTAGAGCTGTCAAATGCTTTAGCAAGGATGCCTGAAGGCTGCTGTTGAAGCAGTGGAGAATTTAAGAAGGCAGTATCCAAAGAAAGAAAAGCCAATGCTACCTGTGGAGTGGTCACTGTGCATTTCCAAGAGGGCAGAGCAGACAGAATGTGTTCTGTCTGGAGGCTAACGAGAAGTGGGCATGGGGCTGTGAAACATGGAATGTTTGTGTCTTGTGCAAGACTACATTCAACTCTCATGTCAAATCAGGTCACAAGAGATCTCTAGTTCCCAGTGATATCTCTGTACTTGCTGTGGGTGTAATTTAGTCCCTGAGGGTACGATACATTATTGTCTTAACAGCTGTTATCGAAATATACATTATTACACTTGAGTTGGCCAAGAATCTGAAAAACAGTGAGAAACACTATGGTGGATGGGGACTATGTTTTTATGACTAAATGCGATACTAACATAGCTCATGCTTCCACCTCATAACAAGCATGATGAATTCAGTGTTATAAGCATGAAGGACTGGGGGGGAGGGGGAATGCCTTGACATCCTTTATCTAGTGAGGATCAATGACAGTAGAGGTCTGCAGATTGTGTGTGTGTGTGTGTGTGTGTGAGCCTCCAGCTCCCACAGGATGCTGTTCTTTCATTGAGCTCTTTGTGACTTGCTGCTATTCCTGCTGCCTCTTCTTTCCTTGTTGCACTTACCTTTCCTTATTGAATCAGGGCTCTTAGCTCATATCTCCACTGTAGTACTGACTACATGTGTTGTGGCTAACTGCCAGTCTCCTTTAGACAGGAAGCACTGGATGCAGAGAACACATTGGACCATTTGAGATCCCCATCATGAGGTCATATGCTTTGTTGGGTTCACTATGCTTTTTTCAAGACAGGGTTTCCTCTGTATTTGCTTTAGAACCTGTCCTAGAACTAGCTCTATAGACCAGGCTGGCATAGAACTCACAGAGATCCACCTGCCTCTGCCTCCTGAGTGCTGGGTTTAAAGGTGTGCACCACCAAAGCCTGGCTCCCCCTATGCTATTTTTATGAGACTTTTATGAAAATAATGAGCATTTACAGTACAGGATCAATCTCTTTAAAAATATACTAAACATTGACCATGTTGTTTTGTAGATAAGAACTTTATTAAGAATATTGCATGTCATCACGAAGATTCATTCTTTAAGCAAGAGAAGTTGGGCACCTAATATGTATAAATCACTACTGGGAGAACTGGGAAGGAATGGTGAGTTGTGATGAAGCTTGTAGAATAGGGAGGGATATGTGTCTTGTCACAATTTTCCTCATTAAATTTTCCTGTCCATCTTACAAGAGTGATGATTTAGAAAAGTGATGGGGAATGTGGCCTAGTCCTTAGCCCTTAACAAAACCTCTTTTACCACCAAAACAAGCTCCAGTTCACTAACTAGCCTTGGGACTGGGCAGCTGCACAAGTATTTCCCTTACAGTATTCCTATAAAAGGAGTTCATCTGACCAACCTTAATATTGTATTCATTTTCTTCTCCCCTACTACCAATTAGGATAGTCAAGAGAAGAACTCTTGTCCATCTTATGTACACTTGCTGCTCAACTTCCTTTGCCATATCCTCCCAAAAAGACTAGAATATTTGAGCTGCAGGGTTGTATTAATTTGAAAGGGAGATTTGTTTCTTCTGATATCTATTCAGAAAGCCTGTCTTTTGGTTATTGCCCTTTTTTCCTGTTCTGTTCCCAGAAGAGATTCCGCATATTTAATTTTCTTCCCAGACCAAGCCATTTCAGTGTCTCTTGTCCTCTCTCTCTCTCTCTCTCTCTCTCTCTCTCTCTCTCTCTCTCTCTCTCTCTCTCTCTCTCTCGTGGGTTTTACATATTAATATTCTAATGTGGGAATGTGGCTCTTGCTGGATGCTTGCACAAACATTTGACCCTGGTCATCTGGGAATGTGGGAGACCGGTCACGATTCAAATAATGCTCTGATCACTGGACACTACTTATTAGCCACCATCACGTCTCAAAGGGTAGGGTGCTGGCAGGAGCAATTAGTTTCCTTCACCGTTGTCCGGTGAAAGTGACAACTGTCACTTCAGCACATGCAGAAATATTAACGTTATTTTCTTCAAAGCCCTAAGTCCATTGTTTTAAAAGGGGTTAATGTTCTCTAACTTTAAAAATAAAATGAAATAACCTTTTAAAAGATGAATGACCATAAACAAAGATGTTTTCCGAACCTTAATTGACAATTCCCCTTTTCCTCCCCTCTTTGTCATAAGTTTCAATGAAATTGTGATCAGTTTTTATACTACCCTCTAACATCTGAGCCAACAAATCAAGCCAATACTTGACCTTATAGAGCTACAAGAGACATGTCAGACTCAAAAAACAAAAATCCAATAGATTCAGCTCTGCTTCTTGAATATGGTTAAGAAATTATCTGTTCCTCAAGCAGGAAGACTATTATTATATAATAATGAGAGCTCTGATATTAAAGAAGTTGGTTGGAGAACAATGAAGAACTTTATTAGAATGTCTGATCATGTATCCTATTATTCCTTTTCATGTAAAATGTTGTCATCAGACACTGAAGAATTGTGGGGACAAAGTGCAGAAGGCAGCTACTTTTTTTTGTTTGTTTGTTTTTGTTTTTTTTCAAAGAGGACGCTCTGGTACACCAAAAAGCAAAATCACTAATGGACTTTAATGCCTGAATATAATTTAATAAAGTTTTGCTGATGTCATTCCTTGACACCTTTTCCCCAGTGAAGGCTGAGGTGGACATGGGGTTTGAATATATTGATGTATTTAAAGAAACAATTAAACCCAAACTCCATCTATCACCGACTGATTCATTTTTCCACACCACCAGCAATGTCAGCCTCACACTGTCTCTGTGTGACAAAGAAAATGTTTGCATGGCTTATGGGTCCTCATATAGATTGGCTTTATTCCAACCAACTCAATTTCCCAACGGACTTCTAGAGGGGCTTGGATTGGAAATGTGTCCTTCAAATAAGGCTTGTGTGATGACTGCTTGGTCCGCTGGTGGTAAGGGTTTTGAAAGGAGATTTCACCATGAGGGTGTAGAGACATATTCACCTTCCCCCACCCCTGCGCCTTTAGTGTTGCACGTGTGGTCACAGGTGCAGACCTGACCCGTGACAAGGATTATGTTTGGGGCTTGGAGCTCTCCCTGGCTTCCTGCTTGGGTCTCGGAGGGCATCTGTGTGGCAGGGTCAGCATCCTTGGAACGGGAACCCATGGCAGTCATCTGTTTCCTGTGTAAGTGCGTTCTCCCAGAATAAACTTCACTTCACCTGTACCGAGTCTAGTGAATCTTGACTCTCACGTCTATACGAGGGTGCTAAGTGCATCCAGGTGTGAATACTCTGATGAGTGTAGACTGAGGTGGGGCCTGTTTTGAGAGAATAGGATCTTGTCATTGACCTGCATGTCTTTCTGTTTCCTACACACCAGGATTGAGTGAACACTTGAGGCCAGAAGCAACGAGGGACTGAGACCTCCGAAAACCAGAGCAGATGAACCTTTCCTCCACAGCTATGACACAACAGCCAATGAGAAGTCTCCCTAGGGTGCCACGCCCTAAGTCTTGTCATTCCTTCTCCCAACTCTGCTGCCATCCCTACCTTTCTCCTCTGGCTGGAGAATCTGGCTGGAGAATCTGCCTGTCCTCATCCGTCCTTGTTTCCGCATCTAGGTCCAGACCACATGGCTTCTTTTCCCATGGAGTCCAGAATCTCACTGTCTTGTCTAGTCTCATGTTCAGTGGCTGGCGCTCCCTGTCCAGTTCCGCAAAGAGATTTCCCCTTAGACTCTCAAACTTACAAACATCTGTCACGCACATTGGTACTACATAAAGTTAATGGTGTATAAATGCAGCTAGTGATTGAGCGATCCCAGGTAAAAACGATGAGAGGAAGGGCTAAATAACTGTATTGGCAGAACGGAAGTGGTACTGTGGACCAGGCTAGAGCAAAACATAAAAGTATGTTTGAAAAACATATGCAAGTATATACACTCTGTTACTCATTAGAATATTTAATGATAGATACAAATCCGCTGGAAAGCCTTTAGAAGCATGTAAATGAATGGAGCATAGTTGGCTTCTATGTCCCTGTGACATGCTACTTACAAGTCTCACCAACAGAGACCCCTTTCTCCAATTCACTGTGCACAGTGCCTGCCACGGATTGGTTATGCGCCAAGGCTTTGTTGACAGAATTCCCTAACTGACTTTACAGAATTTAGGGCATTATGTATTGACACTGAATCACTGCTGGATTTATTTATGTTTAACTTAGTTTTCATGTGAAGACACTTTTGTTTTAGTATTTTTAAAGTTTGACAACTATGAATTACAGAGACCACAGTTTCAAGTTCTCAACCTAATAATCTGAGTGCTCAAATTATCTTTATATTTGTTAAGTTGGGGGAGATGTGTAGGTGCATCAGAGGGTGTGTGTGTATGTGTGTGTGTGTGTGTGTGTGTGTGTGTGTGTGTGTGTGTATGCGTGCGCGCCTGTGCCTGCCCTTACGGACATGTGAGTGTGCGGAGACTAGGGATCAAAGTTGAAGTGTTCCTCTGTCAACTCTCCAGTTTACCTTTGAGTTCTTGTTTCTACTAGGTGGGCTGGCTAGCATGATTCCGGGATCCACATATCTGATCCCCACCAACAATCCAGCCTTGACACAGGTGCTGCCAGGCAAAACATAGTCTTCATGGGTACACAGCAAGGGCTTTACTCACTGAGAGGTTTCCAGCCCAGGGCTTACAGTTCTGTTTAAGAAAAAAAAAAAAACCTGACTACAAAAAATAGTTTATCACGGGGCTGGTGAGGCGGCTTACTGGGTGCGGGGTGTGTGCAAGCGCGAGGGGGCATTCAAAGCCTTCGCACCCACACAAATCCCAAGTGGGCGTGGTTGTACAAGGAGGGTTTTGTTTGTTGTTTGTTTGTTGTTTTTTAAGCAGGGGGAGCGTGAGCGCACGTCCCCCACTACCACAAATTATGCAGACGAGTTCCCTGCATTGGGGGAACCCTCAGGGGTCTGCACATCTGGAGTGCAATGGAGAAGCCTCGCCCTGGGAAAACCACCTTCGTGATCATGGTCAGGACGTAACAGGAGTTCTTAACTGGTCTAATAAAAAACCTGGAGTCAGACACAGAGGAAAATGCTGAGAGACCAGAGAGAAGAAGCACACCGCCACGCCTTACCTGCTTAGTGCCTCGGCCGACAAGAGCGCCTGCTCATGCCCTGTTTCCGCCCCGGCTACCTCACTTCCTGTCTGTCTGTACAGACCTCCAGACCTCTATGGTCAGCTAGCCGCGAGCTCCATTCTCTGACCCTCGGACAGGCTTTATTTGTTCGAGCAAGATATCATCACACACATAGTGACCTGCCTGTAAGCCTAGACGTGCGAAGCCCGGAGCAAACTAGATAATTAAACCGGCCAAACTGGTGATCCTTGGATTCAAGTGAAAAACCCAGCCTCGCTATGTAAAACGGAGGGCTTCGGAGAAAACTCCCAATGTCAATACCCTGCTACCACACAGAGGCACACCGCGTGTACACCCGCCATACACGCACATGCCATAAAGGTTATTAGATAGCCTCTGTCAATAGCCTGGATTCATAACTATTACTTCTGACAGAGCTGCTTACCTATAAGAATAGAAGGCAGATGCAAAATTAAAATGTGTTTGCCGCGGAAAGACCAAATAAATAAGTGGTGTGAGCCAGGCCTAAGGACAGGGCTAGTATCTGACAGATAGCAATTTGCACTGCAATTGTTGTCAAAGCCACCAATCATCCCCTGGGGTACGGAGGTGGCATCCAAGAGCCCGGCAGAGAGCAAAGGAATACTGATGCTGGTGCAGGGGTGAGCAGGTGGGGGATGCTGCATCCGACGCTGCCACTAACCCCTGAAGCACAAGGGAAAAGCCACAGTCAACAGGACTCACAGTACCAGAGCCAGAACAAGAGAAACTGGGCTTCGAGCTGCTGGCACTGAAGTTCTTGTCCTCCTTGCCGGGCTTGCTCCCAGGACAGATGGGAACATTATCCTTGAGGGAATGAGGCAATGCATACAGAGAGATGGGGGACAAGTGACTCCAGTAGCTAAGGATTTTAGCGTTGGAAAAGGAAGACAAGCGGGCCATTGCAAAGCACAAAGTTTGCATAGGCTAGCACAAATTCACTGAAGGTGTGTACATCTTAGCTGGGCTTGGTAACACAGGCCTGGAATCTTAGCTACTTAGCAGACAGAGGCAGGAAGCTGCATATTCATGAACTACTTGTGGTACAGAATGAAATGAGAGCCAGCTCCCTCAGACCAGCCGGCCTCACGATAAAAAGGAGGGGATCAATAAAGATTGGTCATAGAATACTCACCCAACATGAATCAGGCCCTACATTCAATGCCTAGCACTAAACAAAAGGTCACCTCCAGATTCAGAATGCATGCACTCAAAGTTTATGAGTGGAAGCATCATATCTGGGTTTTTTTGTTTTGTTTTGTTTTTTTGCCATATCCAATGCTTACCACAGTGTAGGATATGAGAAAAACATTAAATATCTGTACTTTTTAAAAGCAAAAACAACTAGTAATAATTACTGGCTGATTCAAAATATGTTTTTTTTTTCCTTCTCGGAATTTGTAGTTGTTTTTCTGAAGCCCAAATTTATGAGTCCTCAGAAAGTTTATTTTAATTTCTAATTATTCAAGAGGCACAGGTTTAGGCTTTTCTTTCTTTCTTTCTTTTTTAAGATAATTTTTGATCACTTTTCCTGAGCCTTCAACTGTAATTTAACATTAGGAAAAAAAAAAAAAAAAACCCAAACACTAACCTATTCCATTCTACATAAAGCTGTTAGTGAGATCTAACATAAGACTAGTCAAACCACATGTACATGTGTGTGTACGTGTGTGTGGTGTATATGTGTGTGTGTGTATGTGTGCATGCATGTATGTGTGTGTGTGTGTGTGGTGTGTATGTGTGTGAATGTGTATGTGCATGCATGTGTGTGTGTGGGGGGGTGCATGTGTGTGTAAATGAAATCCCACAGAGCATCATGAAGACCAACAAGGAAAATTACAACAATGTAAATGAATCTGGTATCTACTCATTATAGGGTATGGTGTAGAAAACATTCCATGAAGTTGTTTATACTTTATTATTTCTGCTTCACTCCACTCTGGACTCTATGAGAGAAAGGCCTGCATCTGCCTTCTTCAAGGATGGAGCTCCTATGCTTACCAGAGTCAAGGACCTACCTTCATGTATATTTGTCTCTGAATGAATGAATGAATGAATGAATGAGTGAATGAATGAATGAATGGATGATCAACACATACTGTCACTGAACCTGCTTGTGTCTAGCCTGCATTCCAGCCTCCCTCCTGGGCTCTCTGACTTCAGAAGGCACACGTCTCAGGATGGTCGGCCTATAACCAGTTAATGATGGCCCTGACCCCACCTCGACAGTGTGCTTAAATGCCTTTGAATAACACTGTTCTTGCTGTCTGGGTTTCTAAAACTAATTTAAACATTGTAAGAAATCCTTGGGGCTAAAGAGATGGATCAGAAGTTGAGGTGGTGCCTGTTCTTCCAGAGGATCTGGGTTCGATTCCTAGCACACACACGGAGGCTCACAACCATCTGCTTTCCAGTTCCAGAGCATCCAGTGCCCTTCCCTGCCTCTGTGAGCACCACATATGGACATACATGCAGCCAAAACAACACAAGATAAAAACCAAGTTAATTTTTAGAAATTAAAAAAGAGATCATTAAAATAGAAATGCATGGTGTGTTCTACTAATTAAAGATACTTTGAAAATGAATCAATTTTCAAAACTCAGAAAGAAGAAAAGAATATTTTGGCAAATGAGTTAGATGTTGTCGTGAATAATGACTTTACATAGCATTTGGTCAATTGAATCCACTCGATATTTTTCAGTCTCTAACATTTTATTAATTATGCAAACATCATGAACACTCTGAGACAATAGCATGATTTAATTAATGCATGTTGGTATCCTATCGTAAATAAGGAAAACATCCAGCTATGAAGACTGTCCCAGAATTAAAAAAAAATGTTTTCCCCAGCTGCAGTGCCCACTAAGGATCAAATTATTTAGTTGTATTATCTTACAATAAATACACAGATCTTGGTCATTCTTGAAATATTCAGCCTGCCTGAATAAACCTGTCACTTTGGATAATATGATTAATATTTCAACAGCAACAATCATCTCTAGTTAGCAATGCTTTATAAAAATCTCTCAAGTCGATAATGTCACAGGACAGCTTTTTTCCTAAATACATCCCAATTGAATTTAAAGAATAATCATAAGTACTTAAGATAAACTTGAAACAAAATAAAAACTACAGGCAACGATGAGAAATACAAATGACTTCCCCTAAATGGACATACACTTATGTGCAATATGCAGAAAATTTCCAACATGAAAGCCAGTTGCACCATGCTAGATCACATTTAAAATATCATTTCATCTCTGATATATTCTTCTCTTATAACCTTGTTAAAATGCTCTCACTTGCAAAACTCTGATAGTATATTAAAGAATGTGATTTTGTAATAGCATTTCTGTCCACGCACTCTCTATGATGGAAGGTGGATTATTCTAAATATAATGGCCATTTGGAAGCAGATTCATTCTTCATCTCCCTGTGACTCACTTCCACGTCATAGCAGGCATGGTGCATTTTCTTTTTCCTTCTCATTTGAGATGGCTGTCAATAGCTCCAGGGGCAGAGAGCAAAGAAGCCAATATTCTCTATAAAGGTCATTCTTAGTCATAGATTGGGATATGGACATTGAGGTTTTAGAGGCATAATTTAAGAGGTATCAAGACAGGTTTCTATTCCCCACCCAAAAATGTCTTCTTGTTAATCCAAAATTTACTCCACAGGCTATGTTCTCTTATTTCACTTAATAATGGGACAAAGGGCAAGTTTTCAAAAGGCTAGATGCTTGGTCTTAAGTTTACAGCAGTACTTAATATCAAGGGATTCCAGGTAGATATTGAATTGGAAAGCCAGCGATGAGAGTGAGCAAAGTACAAAGGTCCAAGTCTCTGTGTAGATGAAGTTGTTGGGAAGATTTTGCACATCCAAGCCTCGCACATGTCAAGTAGATCTGACCTCAAGAAACTTAGTCTCTGTGGCTCCTCACATAAACATTGGAAAAATAAGGGAACCTAACTTAACATGGTTTTAACTTTTGCTTAGGCAGAGGGATTAAATGAGTTCAATGAGCCAGCCCCCTATGAAGTGCTTAACTAAGAGCTGGAACTGTAGAGGCCATCCCAATGTTAGTCATCAAAACTAGCCCCACTTCTCAGAGTAAAGCAGAAAATCCGCATGACAGATTCTCCGTGTGCACATAGCTGTGTGCCTGTGAAATGAAGTTAATGAGACTAAAATCCATTCAAGATTGCATCCTTTCCTGAGACTCTCTGGGCCTATGACAGTTAGTCACTCAATACACTAGTCCTCCACAGTGCCATCCGGAGGTTATTCTAGAGAGGACGAGCACATCATTTTTTGTGTTTCTGGGTAAAGGTATGGAAGGTTTTACTCTCCAGGGTAATTCATTTCAATTGAAGTTACATCTCTGACCGCCCAGGATAGCTTATCAGAAAAGGTATGTTTTGACTTGAATTCAGTAATGTGATCCTTAGTGAACCCACAGGAATCAAGCTTTTGATTAAATAAAGTCATAATTTTGGTTAAGGTATGCGAGGATCGACCCACAAACAATGTCTGTACAGGACCCTGAGAGAAGACAAACACAGTCTGCTCTTAATGTTGTCTGCCCATGTGAAACTGATAGGGCAGATAGCTTGTCACAAGGGGACTAGGGAGATACTAACACGAGGCAAACCATGATGTCTGCTAGGTGAGGAATTAGCCTGAAGGAATTGTGGCAAATGTCCAAATAGTGAGAACTGGGAAGCCAGCCAAGTCCACGGAGGAAGCACCGTCCTTCCCATAGCTGAGAAACGTAAAGAAGGTGCTGGAAAATAGAATGAAAATAACTATGCGAGCTCTTCATAACCATGGCTTCTCTGGAAAGCCTTCCTCCCTGGGAATACTGTGCCGAGT